ATTTGTTGTAAGTCAATACCCTCACATAGAGAGCAGTCACGAATTTTTGAAATAAAGCGACAGAGCTTTTAAATCATCCCACTATATCTTCTTATATATAGAACTGAATGTCTGTTTGTCTGCATGTATGTCCTTGTATGTCTGTGTGTGCGCAAGTTCAGAATAGAAAATCCATTTTAGAACCGACCCGGACCAAACTTGGCACACATACAATTCGGGACCGGTCGAGTGTCATAGGCCACTTTTCGTCATCTTTCGATATCGAATTAATAGATTTTTATTAATTTACTTGTAAAGTTTGATCTGTGCGGCTGGGAGATCACACGGGCGGGAGGTAATCGAGCATGCAGATTACGAATACAATGTTAGTTTTTAAAATCATTCGTTACTCTTATCGATTTTGTCGTTTGCAAAGTTTGAGCTACAGAGCTGGGAGTTGACACAAGGGGGGGGGGGGAAGTAATCGTGCATGCTGATTACGAATACAGTGTTAGTTTCTAGTTGTCTACTACTTCTATTGATTTTATTGATTTTTTGGGAAGGTTCGAGCTACGGTGCTGGGAATCGGCACTGGGAGGGGGGGGGGGGTAAGTGAGCATGATGATTGCTAACACAACGGGAATAGGGACTTGGCATGTAGAAGTGGGCACAAAGAAAGGTTGTACAGGAATAGGGATGGGTCTATTACCATATTGTTTTGACAGGGTCGGGCGGAGCCTATTAAGCCAGCTAGTATACTATAAACTTGTAGTTTTATATATGTACAATAAAGCTCACAGAATGTGCAAAATTTCTTTGAATGTCGCAGAATTCCGGGAATTCCGTTAAGGTTCGCGAAATTCCGTAAGGTTCGCGAAATTTCGGGAATTTCGCGACATTCCCAGAATTTCGCGAAATTCATGTAAATCACGCAAATTACGCAGGGCCATAACTTCTTTCCGAATGAGTATATTCAAAATCCAAAAACAGCATTGTATTCAGCTCGTCAAGGCGACTCTTTTGCTATACAGGTTGTCTCCAATATCCTGGTTTCAATAATCTTGGATTTGCATGCGGACGCCTTTTCGCTTGGATGTAACGCAACGAGCATCACACAGAGGAGACTGCGGCGGGTACCCTTCGATAGTACTCCTTCAGTAGATTATTCTGCGCTGAACAGCAGCTGAAGACTTTCTTTTGAAAGAGATAGAAGAGCTGATAAACTCTGGAAAAATCAAGCTGTTTCTAGTTCTACTAGCCGTAACTTCCTTCAGAATGAACATCTTCGGAATCCGAAAACAGCATTGTGTTCAGCTCGTCAAGGCGAATCTTCCGATGTACAGCATGTCCTTGAAATTCCGTTTCCAATTTTTTCAAAATTTTCTGCGCGCGTATATTCGCAAGGTCGCAACGCAGCGCACATCAAACATGAAAGACTCCAATAAGCACTAAATTGTGCTGCTTCCGCAAATTATCGAGCACTAAAAAACAACAGGAGAATCTTTTTGAAAAAAGATAGAAGAGCTGGTGAATTTTGGAAGAATCGTATTTTCTCAAATTTTGCCCACTGTAACCCTAAAATGGGAAGCTCTCCTGCTACGCAGATGTGATTTTCGTAATCAGCAGGTCAGATAACCTCTATGAGCAAGTTTTCAAAAAAATTCGGGTAATTTGCTTTTTTCGTTCTACGCCCTGAAGCTCGCCGATGGGTTTTGGTCAAAATCTTGGATTATAAGGAAACTCTGCTCAAAGAGGTTATCTGACCTGCTGATTACGAAAATCACATCTGCTTAGCAGGAAAGCTTCCCATTTTAGGGACAGTGGGCAAAATTTGAGACAACACGATTTCTCCAGAATTCACCAGCTCTTCTATCTTTTCTCAAGAAGATTCTCCGGTTGCTTTTTAGCGCTCGATAATCTGCGAAAGCAGCACAATCCAACAGTGCTTATTGGAGTCTTTTATATTTGATGTGCGCTGCGTTGCGACCTTGCGAATATAGCGCGCGGAAAATTTGAAAAATTGGAAAAAGGACATGCTGTTTTCGGATTGCGAATATACTTATTCGAGAAGAAGTTATGGCCCTGCGTAATTTGCGTGTTTCACATGAATTTCGCGAAATTTCGGGAATTTCGCGGAATTCCAGGAATTTCGCGAAATTCCCGAATTTTCGCGAACCTTCGCGGAACTCCTGGAATTCTGCGACATTCACGGAAATTTTGCACATTCTGTGAGCGGTATTGTTTATGTACCAGTGGCGTACCCAGGATTTCGGCTCGGGGGGGGGGGGGGCGACAAAAATTTTTTTCTAAAGAAGGTGAGTGGCGTTAGCCACGCACTCCGAAAAAATTTTGGGGTGCTTCTCAAAACTTTTGCGGGTCCCCGACCCCTAAAATCTGGAAAAAGGGAACGTGGCGTCAGCCATGCCCCCTAAAAAAATTTTTTACAAGGCTAATTTGAATTTTAAAAAATTTTTAAAAATTATTTTGATTATTTACAAAAATAAACAAGTCACTTGCACATTTTTATAACCCATATGAGTAACTTTCAAAAATTTCGCTACCCATTCTCGGGGGGGGGGGGGCCCCCCGCCCCCCCCCCACCCCTTCGGTACGCCATTAGTATGTACCTATATGTATATACATCTGAATCTACCTATTCTACTTCTCACCCTTCCATATTGATGACTCTGAGTCTCACCCTGCAACACTGACCATCGCCAATAAATTGAAAGCAAATACCCTTTTCCAAAGCTTTTCCATTTAAAAATCGGCAACTTTGGATGGAAAGAATCTTTCTGCGAAGGAACGACAGCGTATTCGAACCAGTTACTGATTTTTTCGTTTCAAAGTAGCTATGAAGGCACTATCAACGCGCGCTACACCTCTGAACAAAAATTATCTCAGTTTTTCGGGTAAAACCTTGACAAAGCGACTTCTAAGAAATCAAATCGTTTTTGCAAAAAAAACTTCTAATCGTTTTCTGGGCTTAATTTTCGGGTAAAACATTGACAAAGCGACTTCTAAGAAATCAAATCGTTTCTGCAAAAAAAAACTTCTAATCGTTTTCTGGGCTTAAAACCACGGCATGCCAGATTCCTTGTCAAAGACGCCATGATTTCACAAGAAAGACCAACTACCAACAGTGCCTTCCGGGAATGGTGAGTCGACCCTTTTGACGAGCAATTTGTGGGAAATCAGGTCTCGGACCGGCTCGTCCATGTATATGGTAAACTAAGGTGATGGTGCACGTTGTGCAAATTTTTGGCTCGAAACAATAGCTAAAACTCGCTCCATGAATTTTGTCACAGACAAGTTCCATAATCTTTGTGAAGCAAAGCCCATTTCCTGGAATGCTCCTGGCTAATAAGATGCGCGGAATATTCTGCTATCACGAAAGATGCTTCCAATATATTCTTGCAATGAGACGAGGCATGCAACAGAAGAAGAATTCCAACAGAAACGGTCATTAGGACGTAACTTTATGTAGAATTATGTGACCCGAGTTTATAGGAAGAACATCTGCTTCGTTCCAACTGGTTGAAAATTTTACCCAAAGAGCTATTCTCACCTCTTTTCGGAAGCGTACGATAAGAGTGGGACTACAAAAACAAGAAAAAAACTTTAAGGTCAAAGCAATCACTGTCAAAATTTTTCTCTGTTCGGAAAGTTACAAAAAACTTTAATACTTATTTTTTGGCTGTTACAGAAGAGATCAATATGAAGCAATCGTAATGTAAAAATATTCGAAAAAAGCTTTCAAAAACAAGACCTGATGATTTTCTTCGCTTTTCTTCAAAGTCATTTTTTTTTGAAAACCTTCCAAAATTGCCTGATTAAGCAACACAACAGTGCTAAGCATGTTACTAATGATAAATGAGTTTTTGGAAGAGCGAACTTTTCGGTTTATCGCAAATTTCATGACTCCAATACATCGCTTGTTCTTATCAGCAACAAGCTAAGCAGTGTTGGGTTAGATACTCTACACAACTTTGGAAGCTTTTCTTTGACTTCGGAGAAAGAAGAAGATTTAAGAAAAGCGCCGGGGATCATCAGGGATCATACAAAAGTTGGCTTGTACAGCTTCTTGCTGTTGTTCAATGTGTTCATAGCGAATGATAGTCAAAATACTTACGGAGTAGTACACAACGTGAAATCTAGATACTTGGGGCTTCAAATTACGAAGCTTTATATTTCGAAACTCCAGTTACCTGGATTTCACGTTGTGTACCTATCCGTAAGTATTCCTACTACCCTTCACTATGAACATGTTGAAGAGGAGCGAGAAGCTGTGTAAACCACATTTTCCAGCTTTTCCATGATCCCTGTTGATCCCCGGCGCTTTTCTTTGATTTTTCTTTCTCCGAAGTTAACATAAAACCTCCAAAGTTGTGCGTATTATCTAACCCGACAGTGCTAAGCATGTTGCTGATAAGAACAAATAATGTTTTGAAGTCATGAAATTTTCGATGATCCACAGGTCGAAATTTGAGGTTTACCGAAAAATTCGACTTTCAAAAACTCATTTGTTCTCATCAGCAACATGCTTAGCAATGTTGTGTTAGATGTTCAGTACAACTTTGGAAGGTTTTCGTCAACTTCGGAGAAAGAAAAATGACTTTAAAGAAAAGCGCCGGAGATCATCAGGGATCATACAAAAAGCTGGAAAATGCAGTTCGTACAGCTTCTCGCTCCTGTTCAACATGTTCATAGTGAAGGGTAGTAGGTTTACTTACGGATAGGTACACAACGTGAAATCCAGACTGGAGCTTCACAATATGAAGCTTTCTTTTGAGCTGCAATCCCCTCCCCAGCGGGGAGGTTAGTGCATGCGGCCCTTAGTGTATACCACTGATTGCCAGCTACAATGGCTTCGTATCCCGATAGAGTACCGGACGGCCACCCTTCCCCCCCCCCCTCCACTCCCGATATGCTATGTATCGGAAGGTAGTTGTTACAGGTTTGAGAGTGCAGCATTATGTTTGCAGTATTTGAACATGTTTTCTATTGCAATTGCTTTCCAGATTTCCGTTCCGGTACCGCCCAAATGCTGAAGTTAAGCAGACCATTCGCATCGTCGTCGCTTTGTGGTCGGCGTCTTTGATACTCCCTGTTCCGGTTTTGTGCGCTTATCAGGTGGAACGCGTCCCTCTTCCTATATGGGGAATCAATCAGACATGGACTCGACGTGTAAGCTACTGCTTTGAATCTCAGTTTCTAGATAGCTTTTAGCGGCAAAAGAGTGATCGGTTGAAGACGTTATATTTGGCAAAAAACTATGTGTAGAAGTCAAGCTTTTGGCACCCCCTATCAAAGCACTTACCATCTAATTGACCTCACGAGCTGGCCACTAACGCACGCGAGGCAACGTGAAACGTTTGTCGCAATACAGAACAATTGTACGTCGTGCTTTTGCAACGTTTTAGTCGCGCGTTGCAGCTGTGGCAGACACAGCCAATTCATGCGGTCAGTAGAGGATATCTTGCGTGATTGCAGAATTCCAACATTCTTTGACACTATAAGATTTGGACAATCATAAGTTGCTTCAAATTTTTTCTCGTGATTTGGCGTTGAGTTTGTGGATGCAAGTGAAAGACACCATGGACAGGGAAACACTTGTTAACTCTACTGAGTCGGTTCAAAAGTTCGTGCCGTTTTTCAGGCTTATCCTGAAATGATTCAGAGTAATGATAGGCTAATCTCTGTTTGATACATGAAATCTTCCACTTTCTAGCAGTCATGTTACTGTTACGAGAACTTTGATGGTTACTCGAATAATCTTTAGATCTCCAACCCATACTCTACCCATCTTTTACTTGACTTTTGAAGTTTTCAATTTAGAGTTTTGGGAGAGCTTTGATAACATTTGAGAGAGTTAACAAAATGCAATATAATGCAATTTTTGTAATCTATCCATCAGCTAGCAACCACACGTGTCGTTCGATGTGTTAGGTTCGTGCAAAAGTAATGCGCGTTTTTAGCCCCGGTTTTAGGGCAACTTTCTTCCATCAAGCTTTCTTCTCTGGAAAAGATTTAGCATATTGTGTGTTCTTTTTGTGCCGAACAGGTTGATAATTGGTCCTTTATTAGTCAGAATCAACAGCCTTACGTTTCAACGCTTTCGTCTTTGTCAGAGGCCAGGCCACCGCTTCGTCATCAGATTTCCGTAGCGGAAGGAGACGGTTGCGTCGCGACGGACGAATAGATTTAGCATACTATTGAGGAGCACTTTTCATGCTCTATCTAATGGTGGCTAAAACAAGCTTCTAGTCTAACTCGTCAAAAGCACGCAGAGCTTTACACAACCGCGCTCGAAATAGAATTTCACTGCATTTACATTTCTGGCCAGAAATCAAACGCGAATGACGTGCTTTTGATGTTTCAGTTACTGTATGTAGTAGAAATTGTCAACATTATTTACACTCTGTTATCTTCTTAAAACTTATTTGGACTGAAATATCAGCACCTCAACAATTGATAGTTGTTTTGGTCATTCCGTGATCAATACATTTCTTGTGAAGAATGCAATCGCCAAAACTTTGCTCCTTTCTATAAGCGTATGGGCAGACCATCCTGTTGACAGTTTTTTGCAAAACATTTAGCCCTTTGGTACGCAAAAAAGCAAAAAACTGCATGTTTTGGGAGTTTGATTCTTACGTAAAAATGTTGAAAAATCTGACAATTTTGAACTTTGATTTTCCTCTTTCGCAGATCAATTCTGGGCCCTTTCCATCTTTCCATCCATTCCATCCATCTATTTTGTACTATTGGCTTGCGGCTACAAGGTAGGCTACTTAGCATTTTTACTAACAAACTTTGAAGGATGTTATGACCAGTCAATTACGAGGTTTCAAAAAAAACTTTTTTTCTTATCAATCGATAATTTTCTGGCCGTCTGTGATATGACTATATGGCGATGTGCGCTGTATTGCGAAAGATTTGCTGTCTCTAACAGTCTTTATCGCATCAAGAATTATAGATTCTTAAAAAAGGTATACCACGTCAAAATGAGAACTTGCAAAAACGCAATATTTTTGCATCAACCTAATAGCTTTCTCTCCTCTTCTTCCCCCTGATTCGTAAAAGCTTTGAGGTCGACATCAAACGCAGCAGAGGCTATATTAAAAATGAGAAAAGTATTTTGAAGCGGTTAATGCTTGGCTACTTTGTAAAATTAGTGTTCAATTATAAACGATTTTTGGAGGTTTCAAGTCCTGAAGATTTATGTGTTTGGAAAAGGTTGTGCAATTTTATGACTTCCCAAAAATGAAAGATTTTGAAAAAACTTTTTTGAGAAATACTCTAAAGCCAATTGAACTTACCCAAAAATTTGTTGTATCACTTTGGTTACCCTATTTAACTGTTTTAAACAGAAGAAAATTTTGAGAAATATTTAAAATTGGGGTAAATAGAACACCGTGTTGAAGATTCTGACGATTATACTAGCAAACATCCGGGATTTCGGCGATATACTTAGATACTTAGATGGCCCGTCTTCACGTGGCGTGCGGGCACAAAAGTTGCCATTTGTCCCTGTCTCTCGCTTCAGACATCCACGATCTTCTTGGTTGCCGTCGGTGGCTGCGTCCACGAGTTCCAGGTGCAATAATCGTACCCAGCTGATTTCTCAGCTGGTCCATATCGTTCCACAAACACGTCTGCCCATCTCGTTGGTGGTCTTCCTCGGGACGTTTGGCTTCGCGAGGAATCCACTCAAATGTTCTTAGTGTCCATCTTCGTCTGTTCTTCTCATGATGTGACCGGCCCATCGATGCTTCGCTTTCGCAACGTATTTTGCTGGGTCACGAAGACGGGACATTCTTCTCATATCCGCACTGCGAAATCCAACTAGATGTTGCTTGTGTCGGGTCATCTTCAGAAAACTGCGCTCGAGCGCTCTGTGGGTGGTCCGTAAGGCTTTCGACGTGGCTACTGTGTCAGCCCAAGTCTCAGCTGCGTAACAGAGCGCCGGGAGAACGGTTGAGTCGAACAGGTGGGCACGAAGCTCCGGATCTGTGAATTGGTCGGTGGCTTCCTTCAGAGGCCCGAGGGCGGCCCAGGCTGCTCTTCTTCTCCTGTTAAGTTCTTCCCTCAAGCCGTTCTCCATGTTCATCGAACGTCCGAGATACACGTAAGAAGACCTCTCCATGATAGGGGTGCCCTCCAGTTCCATTTCTGCATCTTCGCAAAAAGCGTTCTTCATGTGAGTCTTCTTCCGATTTATTTCAATCCGATCTTCTTCCCTACTTCGTTTAGTTCCTTCAGCATCGTCCCTGCTTCGGTGATATTGCTTGAGAAGAGAACGATGTCGTCCGCAAAACGAAGGTCAGACAGAAATCTCCCATCAACTCTCTCGTTCCAGTCCAGTGACTTCATTACCCACTGCAAGGCCGCGGTGAACAGCTTTGGCGAAATTGTGTCGCCTTGTCGGACCCCCTTCCCAATTGGAATAGTCAGGGGGGCGATGAAACAGCTGCATCGTAGTTGTACAGTCCTTGTAACAGTCGGCTAACGTCCTCACGTAAGCTGGGTCCACTCCTTGATCGACTAGCGCAGACAGGATGGCGTTGGTTTCGACGCTGTCAAAGGCTTTCTCGTAGTCGACAAAGGTTAGGACGAGAGGCAGTCGGTATTCCCGGCAGACTTCTATAACCCTCGAAACCGTCTGGATGTGGTCCATGCAGCTGAATCCTTTGCGAAATCCAGCTTGTTCTTAGGGTTGGGCTTCATCCAGTGTCCTAGATATGCGAGTGAGGATAATCTTCGTGAAAAGCTTGTACAGCACACTCAGCAGGCATATTGGACGGTAGTTCCGAAGATCTTCCCGTTCGCCCTTCTTGAAAAGAAGACGGTTCTTAATCAGGGCCCGGCACAGATCGTCTGGAAGCAGGCCGGACTTCGTTTTTGAAGCAAACAGCAAAGGGGATATCGTTTTTGACGAGTCGGAACCGAGCACTAAGAATAAGCGCCATTTAGTCGAACACAAGCTTTTCGGACAGGTTATCACACGATTGACATGCTCTATCGTGCATGGCAAAAGTGCGCGCGATTTAAAAGCAAGGCTTAAATAAACAAATTGCTTGTTTACAGCGCACACGGAAGCATATGACACCAAAATTTTACTGTATGTATAGAAAATTATTTGCGAAAGTATTATGTGAAAAGATTTGAAAACTTATGTGAAGTAATACCTTTTCCAAAATTAGATCGTCTTCAGACGGCCACCAGACGATCTGAGATCGTCTGGAGCATATATTTTCGTCACTTCACATAAGTTTCGGAAATTTTTAGCATGGACGGATTCCCCGGTCAAAGATCTATCCCTGAGCATGAAGACATTTTCATTTGTCTTTCCTTTGTTTTTTGCCTTCATTTCTTCTCGCTTTGTTAAATATTGCGCTCTAATGCCAAAGTTTTGGGCATGCGTAGTATTCAGCTCCAATTAGGATTTTCACTCTTATCTTACGTCTTCTCTTTCAGACTAGTAAATCATTCTTGTTTTCATCTTCTCCTAAGTAGGTAGGTCAAAGAGGACTTCGTAACACTTCCGAAAGTTAGGGGAGACTTCGTTTTCAGAAACTCTAGAAACCGACTCGTGCCGGGCCCTGTTCTTGATGTTCTCCATTGGTCGGGAATCCTTTCCTTCTGAAGGTAAGATATTAGGTGCGACGCGAAAATCTCTTGTAGACGTTGTCCTCCAGCTCGCAGAAATTCAACGGAAAGATGGTCTGTTCCTGGAGCCGTGAACGTCTTCATGGTCTGAATCGCTGTGCGCACTTCAGCAGGTAGAATTCGCACTAGTACTTCTCCAATGGTACTTTTCCAGTGGGAACAACGGGCATCGGCACGAGTGTTGATGAGCGGAAGAGGTTGGTGTAGAAGTTCTTTGCAATAGATTCCATCTTGTATTGGGAAGAAGTTGGAGTCCCGTCTTCGTTCAATAATGCAGCCAGCGGTACGTGATATTCAAAAAGGTCCCTTCGGCACTTCTTGAGACTTCGTCTTCCTTCGGCTGCTTCCAGTATCTTGGCTTGCCTACACTTTCTAACAAGGTAAGGATACTAATTTAGATTCGCCTTTTGAGACGATACACATATATTTGGAATCATTTTAATCGCTGATTTTAAATATGCTGTTCCTAGCTGCTTAGCATTATTCCGGAGCGAGTTATGGGCTTGCTGTTGTAAGTT